ACGATCTGCGCATCGTGATGTATTTTTGTAATCTAAATACGGTTTGTGTACCGTTAAGTATTTTTGTAAATTTTATTTAAAGTAAGTAGAATAGTTATTTAAGTAGTGTTAGTTCAAAGAAGCCCATGAAGTGAAGACCCAAAGGAGCAAGGTGGATGGAGATCCATGATGATTCAAGTGGGAGCATTTTTATTTCTAGTTTTCTTAAGATTAAGGGGTCATACTATGTCATGCTTTATTTTATGCATTAGTAGATTATGCATTTTAGATTTTATTTATGTTGCTTGATGATGCGCTAGAGTTAACTTAATAATCACAACATAATGAATATAGGTCCCGGAAATATTTAGATTGCTTTTCCAATTAAAAACCCAATGAAACCTTCGATATTTGTGATGGGTCATGCCAAAGCTGGGTGTCATATTATATCTTTGGGAAGTTGGGGTAAATAAAATTTTACATTTTAATTGGTTATGCTTAACAAGGTTACCTAAAGAGTTTAGGACCTTGAAGCAAAGGGAAATAATTAAACATGTGATGATTAATTATTCAACCAAGAGTTACAAGAGTTGTAATCAGTAAAGAGTTTACTCACCTTGAAAATGTAATAGTTGATGGTATGGCCAAAGTCCGGTCAATTATTGCACGAATAAAAGGGTCTTGGAATCACTTAAATTTCAATTGGGATCAATTAGTTATTGAATAAAGTGCTTTAAATTTACCAAATTAATTCGTTTATGGTACTTTAATTTTATTAAACATAATTATTAAACTTTGCCTTATTTTGGCATGGATGGGTAGCCGTAATCACAATAACAACAACATTTACAATTTGCGACCATTCCTTGAGAAGGATAGGTTGACAGGAGAAAAATTTTCCACTTGGAAAAGAATGCTAAGGCTTGTTCTGAAATCTGAAGGTAGAGAGGATGTCATTGACACCCTATTTCCAGGACCTCTGCTAGAAAATCCAACTGCGTCAGAAGTCAAGAAGCACAAGGAAACTCATGATAGAGCTGTGCCGATCACTTGCTTAATGATTGCTACTATGGAGCCTAGTCTTCAAAAGAGTTCTGAGGACCAGGATGCATATACAATCATGCAAGAAATCAAAGCTTTGTTTAAGAAACAAGCAAGAGTTGAAAGGTATGAGCTCCATCGCGAGATTCTAGATTGTAGGATAGATAGAGAAGGGTGCCACAGTTCATGATCATGTTTTCAAAATGATTGGCCTCATTCAAAGTATGGAGAAACTGGGGCACCCATATAGTGATGAGATGGCAACATACATCATTCTCCACTCACTTCCTAAAAGTTTTAACTAGTTTATCATGAACTTCAACACGACTGCCACTACAAATACTATGAATCAATTGCATGCAATGCTGGTTAGTGCTAAAAAGAAAATCCCTAAGGAACCTAAGAAGGAATTTCTTATGATCCAAAAGGGAAAGGGTGAAAGGAATAGTGTCCTTCGAACAAGTGTATTATTGTGATAGTGGGTTCAGAATTATTAGAAAGCTAATATATTCATTAAGGTCAAGTGATCGGAATGCCTGGGTGGAGGCCGCTTCCGATCAGTAATATTAATGCATAATTAATATTACAGCTTAATCTTGACTGAACCGTTCGGGTCACACCCTAGCAGCCAACGAACAGAAGCAACAAATTAATTCGGAAGGAATTAGTGAGTCGACCGACCAATATTTATTTAGACGTCGGAAATTCGAGCTTAGAGTGTCGAAACCGAGCGTCGAAAGTCGAGTCGGAAATAATAAAAGACGAGACGCGCAAATAGTAATAAATCAACATAATTCCCAAAATACCCTAGAATCAGAGTGCCCTGAGCAATCCGAGTGCTAGGGGCATAATTCACAAGCATGGTGGCTAGCATGCGCACCAAGCCGAGCCTAGGATGGCTGGTGCGTGCTAGCGCACCATTGCTAGCAGCCGCAACATCCAAGGGCAGCAAGCTGCAGCAGCCAGCACTCAGAGTGCGTGGCTTGCTAGCCGTAAGCAGCAGCCCGCATCTCCAAGTGCGGGTAGCAGGGCTATGTCGCGGGTCATGGCGTGGGTAGCTAGGCCGTGAGCAAGGAGAAGAAAGTGGAACTTAGGGAGGACATGTGGCACATGGAGAGGAAGAGAGTGGGGAGTAAGTTTGGTCCCCCCCTCTCCAAGTGGTCCTCAGTTGCTCTCTCATGAATAGTTGACACTTGTTGATTTATTACTAGCTTGCTTAAATAGTTTTATTTTGCTTTTAAAATAAAATGTGAAAATCCCACTATCCCACATTGATGGGAGAGACAATCATACTCTCATCATTTCCTATAAATACCATAGTAAGGGCATTGGAAATGATGCTTGAGTAAGAGTTGCAAAGGGCATCACTAGTAAGTGAAAACCCTTGAGCTCAAGATCGAGTTGGAAAATGTATTACATTTAGTGAAAGCCTTTGAACTCAATTACTCGGGTTTTATTGGTTGGGTCTTGCTAACCCTAAGACATTGGACCTTGTCGGTATTCGCTGGTGCGGGTGGATCAACTTTGGAGGCTTTGGAGCTAGCTTTCAAGTAAGAGCCCATTCGGTTGGGCGAAGCACGCTCCAAAAGGTAATCGTTCTATCTTAATCTTGTGATTAATTTAATTATGTTTATGGTTTTATTTATTGCAAGTGCGGTCTTGTTTTTGGGTTTCTTTCCGCGGTGAGTCGGACTCACCAAACCCCAACAAAGGGGTTCAACAAGAAGGGGAAAAAGGCTAGTGCCAAGAGCAAGGGAAATCAAGTTTCCAAGGCTCTTGAAAAGCCTAAGGCGATTCCTAAACCCAAGGCTGAAAGTGAGAGTGAATGCTTTTATTGGAAAAAGAAGGGGCATTAAAAGCGCAATTGCCAAAAATACCTTGTCTTCCTCAAGAAGAATGGAGCATCAACCTCATGTATTATGTTATAAACATTTTAACTTTCACTTAGGTATATGATACCAAGTTGCAGTGCTTAACATTATAAATGTTGCAAAGGAACTGCAAACAAGTGAGGCTAGCGTGGAAGTGAAGCTTAAGGGTGCACTAGAAGTGTTCGAGTGACCAAGGAAGCTTCGTAGTTTTAATTTCTGAATTTATGATGATTTTAGACCTATTTTCGTTTTTAATGAGACAATATTTCAGTTATTTGTTTTGAATACTGATTGATTTTACTAGGCTTGGACAAGTGTCCATGACCAAGGTAATAAATTGTTTTCATTATGTTAGATATGAGTTAAATTTGTTTTATGACATTAACATAAGTTGATCACAAAATAAAATTAGATGATATAAGTAAACTTACTTATAACAAAGTAAGGTTAGGTCACATAACCAATTTGCACATCCAAAGTAATAATTGGATGGACTCTTATTCTTATATGAATGTGAATCACTTGAGAATTAGAAGTCATGCTTGATAAGGTAAGATGGCCAAGTTGCCTTTTAGTTGAAAGGGTAAAAGAGCTAAAATGACCTTTTGGAACTCATACATATGATGTGTGTGTACCATAAGTTCAAGAATTAGCAAAGAGATTTAACTATTTCATTGCTTCTACTAACGATATAAATTACTATATTGATAATTACTTAATGAAGTAAAGCTTGGAATCATTGAAATGTTCAAAATTCCAAAATGAAATGTAAAATCAGTTTGAGATAAACAATTTAACACCACAATATGATTGTTGTAATAAATATTTAACTCAAAAGAAATGATCATCTAAGGGAATTGTTGAATTAATTCACAATACAGAAACATTACAATAAACTCAAAACAAATGTATGTGTTCTTGCCATGGTTCGATCCAAGATTTAATGATTTACAAATATTGTTTTGAGGATATGAATCAGAATAACAACAATTGCGAATATACTAAACAAGAAATTTAACCAAAACAGTAGAAAATATGTCATAAGAGTTATGAACTGGAAATATTCCAAAATTATCTTTTCTAAGAGAAGATTAAGGGTTATGAATCTATGTAAAATATTTACAAAAATGACATAATAGACCCTAAATCAGAGGTATTATTCCTACAATCGCGTAGAAAACAAAGTGTTTGTTGCTCGCGATAATGTCTTTATAGAAAGAAATCTCTTCCTACAAAGCCAAGTGGGAATAAAGTTAGATCTTGATGAGATTCGGGACGAGCAACAAGTGGATGTGGATAATACTACATCAGAGAAGAGGGCGTATGAAATCAACTAATTTGATAAATCATATGTCGAAGCAAGCTAATTCAACTAGCGAGGCTTCTATTGTCCCACTTGAATGAAAGGCTTCAAAGAGTTGAAGAGAAATAATTCTATTGTTGCCTATACCTATCGTAGGTTACTTAGTATTAAAACAAACAGTTTGTTGGAAGTCTAGTAAAAGGTGGATTCTAAAATTTTCCTACTGGAATGGTGGGAACCCATGCCCTACAAGCAAGCTTTGGACAAGTGCCAACTCAAGAAATGGATTAAAGCCGAGAAATCCAGAATGGACTCCATGTCTGTAAAGATGTGTTAGTCCATGATAGTCTTACATATAGGGTCAAACCTAGTAGTTGTGTAAGCATATTCAGATTATTCTAGGTGTGGAGATCAAAATCACCTCATGAAATGTTCTCAATGGATGGTATGTATATGATACAACCTAAGAGTTTTGAAATCCATAAATTCCTAGAAAGTTTTGCAAACTTCATAAATTCATTTATGGATTGAAGTAAGCATCAGGGAGTTGGAACATTCTTTTTGATTAGGCAAACAAACAGTTTGATTTCCTTGAAAGAACGAAAAGGGATCTTGTAGAGATAAGAAGTTTAGTGGGAGCAATTGATCTTCTTGGTCTTGTATGTAGTTGACATACAATTCATATGAAATGATACATCAATGCTTGAATAAGTCAAGCAGTGGTTAAAGAGTTATTTCTATATGAAAGACTTAGGAGATGTTGAGTACATATTGGGAATCAAAATCCACGAAGTGAATCTTGAAGAATGATTGGACTTAATCAAGAGACTTATGTTGATAAGGTTCTTGACAAGTTCAAGATGCAAGACTCTAAGAAAGGATATCTTCTCATGTCTCATGGTATTACAATCAGTAAAACTCAGTGCCTTCAAAAGCTAATAGAGTTGAGTCGTAAGGATAGTATACCTTATGCTTCTGCAAAAGGGTCCATTATATGTGCCATGAAATGTACAAAGCAAGATGTTACATATGACTTGTGCATATACACAACTGGAATATTTTTACATATATTTTATTTTGTAGAGACAATAATATTTTTTTCCATATACACAACTGGAATATTTTTACATATCTTCAGATATTTTATTTTGTTTATTTTCTTTGCAAAAAAGAACAATGATTAGTAAATATTGAATTAATACTTTATCTAAAACTATTCTTATAATATTATCATTTTTTCACTTTGTTTCAACTTTACTACTTTTATTATAATAAATTTCATTTCAATTAGAAAAAATTCATTGTGGTAACATATATATGTACATGTATACATTTATTTTTTACATTTACAAAAGTAGTATTAATAATAGGACGGGCATATCAGACTAGATATTTATTTTATTAATATAAAACCCACAAACTTAACCTTAACATTGGTATAAGTATAAAAATATTGGTGTACAATTATTGTTGAATTCGTAATGCAATTTTGTCCCTATATACTTCATAAAATTTAGTAACAACGAGTCGTGCGATGTAATTAATAAAGTGCAATTACTGTATTATTGCAAAAATTCCTGTGTGAGATAGACTTTCATTAAGTTATTGTATGACGGGTTAAAGTTACTCTAAAAGTATTTAAAGTTACTATTAAAATTTACTTTATGCCATTTTCCTAACATAAAGTTTATCTTTAGAAAAAACACTTATAATATATTACATGAATCATATACTCCCTCCGTTTTTAAATACTTGCTCCATTTCCTTTTTCGGAAAGTTTTTACAATATTTAAATCATTTCTCATAATTAATGGACCCAACATAATATTCTCTCTCCTTCTATTCTTCATTACTTTTGCTTTTTTCAATTTTTTATTCTCTCAATTACTACCCCACTACCTCCATATTTTATTACTTTCTCCAATTTCTCCTAAAACTCCACGCATGGAGAAATGGAGCAAGTATTTAAAAACGGAGGGAGTAGTCTTTATAATATGTATTTATTAGAAAAAGTATATTAAAATAAAATCAAACCTATTACAAATTAAAAGTTACAACTTATCCCAGAAAGAGAAGTTACCATAAAACTTACTTAAAGTTACTTTCAGATTAACCGTCTTTCAAAAAATTAAAATTAAAGTAAGGGCATGTTCACTTCAGCTTAATTTCAGTTCGATCAGTTCAGTTTAGTTCAGCTCCAATTAGTTCAGTTCAGTTCAACTCCATTCAGTTCAGTTCAGTTCAGTTCAGTTTAATTCAGCTCTTGATTTCCTTCTCTCATAAAATATTCATTTCAGCTTTATTTAAATCAGTTCAGCTCCAATCAGTTCAGTTCAGTTCTGTTTAGCTCATTTAGTAAATGTGAACAGACCCTAAGTCTACCTAGCTTATACATGCAAGACCTAAGGGTCTGTTCTGTTTTACTGAACTGAGCTGAGCTGAACTGAACTAAACTAAACTAAACTAAACTGCTTGGAGCTGAACTTAACTAAACTGATTGGAGTTGAAGCAAACTGAACTAAAATTAAGTTGAAGAGAACAGACCTACCCTTATTGGGTTGACAATTGTAGGTACAATATTTATTACATTTATATATTTCTATACTTATTAACACTTTAGGTTCACTCCATATCAATTTCTACGATTTTAATTAGTCTTCACAAATTCATAAGATTATTTGTTAATCATTGCATACATGCGTGCACGTAGAGTAGTATATGCGAAGGCTACTATTCCACATTTATGGTCCATCAAAATTGAGAGATACTCAAATGATTATAGCTTTTTCCCCGATTTTAAGAAATTCTGGGATCGATTGTCACTTTCGTCTTTTGTGTGGCCCTCAAAATATCCAAAAAAAAAAAGGAACATTATGTTCATTAGCTTATTCTTAAATGGTTTTTAATAACTTAATTGAGAAATTTAAAAAATCATTAATTTGTAATAATAAGTTAATATGGAACCAGAATGAAAACCGTGAAGTGGTAGCAATTTTTTTTTTTTTTGGTAGTAAAATAAAATAAAATTTTAAATAGGTAGAAAAAGTCAAAATACGTGGTGCTTTTTAGTGGTAGTAAAGTCAGATTTTCCTTTACATAACTTTAGAATAATAATAAAAAAAAAATCTGTAATTTGCAATATATAATATTTCCACTTTTTTTTTTTTATATTTTATACTTCCTCCGTTTTTTTAATATTGCACCACTTTGCCTTATAAGGAAGTATCACAAATATTGCACCATTCCTATTTTTGGAAAAGAAATACTTGTGTTCACACTACAAATACCAAATATACCCTTACTTTTCAACACATGATTATTCAGCTTATGTATACCATCACACAGACAATCTTGTATTTTACCTTTCTCTCTCATCCTTTTTTCCACTATCAAAAAACTTGTGTCAGCCTCCTATGGTGCAATAAAAAAAGAACGGAGAAAGTATTTTTTATTATTGCACCATACAAGTTCGGATCAATAAATTTTGTAGTGAGACTTGGGAAAAAGGAAGCGAAAAAAAGATAAAAAAAATACAAAAGTGTCCATGTAATGTAGCAGACTAGGCCCTATTCACTTCACCTTGAAAAATAATATTCAGTGAAAATAATTTCAGTTAGTTAAATAAAAATAATTTTAGTTCAGCAAAAGTAATTTTGATTCAGTAAAAATAAGGTGCCGTAAACGGGGCCTAAATAATAAGTGTAAAAAATAAGGGTATGTTGGGTATTTACAATGTGAATAAAGATATTTTTTGTCTTAAAATAGAAATAGTGCAATATTTGTGAAACTTCTCTTGCTAAAAGACAAGTGACATAATATTAAAAAAACGGAGGAAGTAGTCGGGTCTTGTTCTCATTGACTGAAATGAGCTGAGCTGAACTGAACTTATTAGAGCTGAACTGAACTGAAATGAATATTTTATAAGAGAAGGAGATTAGGAGCTGAATTGAACTGAACTTATTAGAGCTGAACTGAAAATAATAATACGAGAACAGGCCCTTGCATTGATTCTAAGAATACCCTTTACTTTACATATGTGAGGCTTTAATGTGTATATCAGCATATGTCATGTGGATTTGCGCATGGGGCGAGCCAGTATGCTAGCGGCCCGACACGACACGAGCTCGCTAGCTGCACGACACGACATGAGGAACGAGGGGTGGGGCGTGGGCCGTGCCGTAAACAAAAAAATAAAATTTGGCACTAACCAAGCACGAGCCGCGGGCGGCACGAACTTTTGGTCTGCTAGCACGGCCCGCCGGCATGACCTACAATAATAAAAAGTAATAAAAGAAACTATAAATACTAAAAATAAAAACAATAAAAAGAAATATTATAAAATTATAAATAGAGCCATAATAATATAAAGAACTATAAATAATAAAAATAAAAATATTAAAATTAATTAATTAATAATAAAATTATTTAATTGGCCCGCGGACCGGCCCACGAGGCACGTGGGTCGTACTATGGGCTGGGAAAGTGGGTCGGGGTGTGTCATTTGGTGGCCTGGCACGACATGGTCCGCCATCACCAAGTCTGGAACGACACGATACAAGCCACCTCCTGGCATGGTGATGTATGGCCCGTGACAGTCCAACACGACACGATGCCCGACTCATATGTCATCTATGAATCAAATGGAAAATATGTTTAAAGCTGTGCAAGAGATTGGAGAGAATGACATATTTTCTCTCTGTCTCCGTATACACATTTCAAGGGTTATAGAAAAAAGGAAATTTTGCAAAAAAAAGACCTTTTATAAGCAATTTTTTGCAATAAACCACCTTATAATTTTTTTTTTTTGCAATGACAAACCTTAAACAATTTTTTTTTGCAAATCAATACCTTTATGCCGAAAAATGAGATTTGACCTCAATTTCCAGTGTTGACTACCCCAATCCACCCACGAAACCACCTCCCTCCTAAACTCCACCCACAAAATCACCCTTTCCCGGCATTGACCACCCTAAACACACCCTTTTAATAGCATTGACCACCCTAAACACAACCCTTTAACGACGTTGACCACCCTAAACCCTCCTCAATAGCCCTATACACCCTTCTCCCCTCCACTGTCAGCGTCGGTACTCTTAGACATACTCCCTCAACCATAAATTAACACTCGAACCACCCTAAATCCAAATTTCGTGAGATGGTGGAAAGAAGGGAGTTTGATTTCACTGGTGGGGATGAGGAGGGGAGGCGGTTTCGTGGGTGGAGCGAAGGAGGGGGTTATTTCATGAATTGGGCTGGGGAGGATTTCGTGGGTGGGGTTAGGGTAGTCAACGCGGGAAAATAGGGTTTGACCCCATTTTCCGACATAAAGATATGGTTTTGCAAAAAAAAAAAAATTGATTAAGGTGTGTTTTTGCAAAAAAAAAAAAAAAAAAATTATAAGGTGGTTTATTGCAAAAAATTGCTTATAAAAGGTGGTTTTTTGCAAAATTTCCTAGAAAAAATGGATTGGCCAAACTGGATCAAACAGAAGAAACCTCTATGGTCTCCAAGTCGAGAAAATTTGAATCCAAAACCACTTAAAAATTTGGTCTTAAATGGAATCGAATATTTTATCTACCTATTTAAATAAACATCTAGTTCCTTTCTTTCTTTTTTTGTTTTTTAATATTTTTTTAGCAACACAGCCACATTTAAATATTATATTTCTCTTTTCATGGTACTGGTTACTTTATAACGCTAATTAGGTTGATTGAGACTACTCTTAACACCTTATGATTTTGAGATATACCGCTTTTATTAAACGCGGGTCTGGGCCGCACCCTCAAACTAAGAGAGTGAGTTTACTTCACAAGATCAAAGGAGGCTCCACCCCAAAACTATATGGAAATAAGAGGAGTAGTCCCTTAGCCTTATAAAGTGTTTAAGGCTCTCTTCCTCAACCAATGTGGTGACACTTAAAGAGGTTTATTCTTCAACATCTTTTGAACTTTTGCAGTGAACTCTCTCTCGATATCAGGTGTGATAGATGGGGACCAATATTTATCAATTATATAATATCCTTAGCTTTCCTAATGCATGTGAAATCATTTCCACCGTTGCATGCATGGTTTACGTGCAAAACTAGATATGTGTTTACTAGTAGTATTAATAATATGGTTGTATATGAGCATGACTGATCAATTGTCTTAAAAAGGAAATCTTTAATTTTGTCTTTGCTGTATTTTTCAGGCCACTTCCATAATTATGTGGAGCAGCAAAATCCTGTATATATAACCCATTTCTTTGCTAAGAGATGCAATAACGTAATTAAAAAATCTAAAACTACCATATATTAGCAACATTTTTTATTGTAGCTAGCTAGCCATCTTTAGCTTTCAAAATGCGTAGTCTTGCATTTTTTTTAATCTTGTTTGTTTCAGTTTCACTTAGTTATGCTATTATTGAAGCCGATTATTGTATTGCAGATCGTAGTCTTCCTAGGGGGCCCGCTGGATTTCCTTGCAAAGATCCGACTAAAGTCACTATAGATGACTTTGTTTTCACTGGATTTCGTGGTGAAAAAGACACCACAAATTTATTCGGAAACAATGTAACTTTTGCTCTTGTGGATCAATTTCCAGGTTTAAATGGTCTAGGCCTTTCCATGGCAAGGGTAGACTTGGGGGTGGGCGGAATTATCCCTGCGCATTCTCACCGAACATCAGAAATGCAAGTTCTTGTACATGGTACAATAATCTCAGGGATAATTGATGCAAACAATGTCGCGTATTATAAAAGATTAGAGGCTGGCGATGTAGTGATATTTCCACCGTACTTGCTTCACTTCGTAACAAATGTTGGTGAAACTCCGGCTCTAGCATTTGTTGCTTTGAATGGGGCAAATCCAGGATTGCAAATAACTTCCACCTCCTTGTTTGGTGGTAGTTTACCGGCGAAAATAGCTTCACAAATCACCGATATAAGTCTTGAGGAAGTGAAACGCTTGCAGAACATTTTTAGCAAAATTGACACAAACTCATAAGACGCTTAAAATCATTGTGTTTTACATGTATGGTATCACCTATGCTAGCTTGCTTTAAAGTTTGGAATATATATATATATATATATATATATATATATATATATATATATATATATATATATATATATATATATATATATATATATATATATATATATATATATATATATGCATGTCAAATATATTTGTAATTTTTTTTATTATTTTAAGAAATATTTGTAATATCTTAATAATAAAGAATATTGAATAATGTTCATAAAAATGCTTATTTGCTTTGTTCTAATCTACTATTAAACTTCTACAATGTCATTCCTTAAAAAAAAGGCACCACAACATGCTCACATGGTAAAATTAAATCTCATCGATTGCACCATATTAAATATTTTTATTTTCATTTAGATCTATTTTAAATGTCTACAATGTATTACAATTGTATTTATATTATGTATAACTTTTTAATACATGTATATTTTTTTAGAGATATGTTATTATAAATTATGCAAATCTATTTTTATAATACTTATTAATTTTCAAAATTATACTTATAATTAAAACTCACAAAATCAAAATTGTTTATCAATGTTCTTTATATGTCATAATTAGCCACCCGTTCAAAAATACCCAATAAATATACGTAAATGAATTGTGTGTAACGTTTTGTTTGTTTTTTTTTTTTTTTTTCTGTTTTTAATTTTTAGGGTTTTGATCATAAAAAAAATCTCAACATCAATCTCCATTTTAAGTATTTATTAAGGAAGGGATCCAAGATCAAGCAACCCACTAAGAAGCTACATGGATCAAGAACCGGTTGCCCTTGTGTTTGAAACTCTTGGAGTAAGTCCATTTGCTCTCAAGCCTGAATTTGTCACTTTGGGAGATTACTTGAAGAACACAAAGGAGTGTTATTTATGTATGAATGACCCATTTGCTTTTTTGGGCTATATAATTAAGTTTGCTTTATCTATTATTTTTGTAATTAGACTTAAAGAAGTAATTAACTTCCTCTCTATTTAGCCGTGATTTTGTGTGTGATTATAGGAGTTATTGTTACTCTCAATTGCCAATTTGTAACTGCCCATTTAAATAGGTGACAGATTTTATGACCACTGAATTAATGTGACGGTTTTAAGAGATACTAAGCGGTAATTTTGCTAAATAGGGAGGTAATAACAAGAGGAAGATAGATTTTGATTATTAATTTTTTAAAAAAAAAACTCAAGTGTTTTTAGCATTTTGCTTTTAGTTTGTCTCGAGTTAAAGTGTAGCTTTGAGTTTGTTCTTTAGTTATAAGATTAGGTGAACTTTGATGAGACTCATGAGAGTGTCTTGAGTTTTTGCCTAATATCCCGAACTTTGAGTGTGTTGCTGGTTTTTTGTTATCAAACTCGTTTCGTGAGTTTAATTCGTGAGTACCCCATTTTAAAAAGTTTAAATCCATCAACCTTTATATTCCGGTGAGTGTATTTAGACTTACATCATCTGATATCAGATCTTTGACGTGAGTTTATTGAAGAAAACAAGTTTAAGGAACTTAGAGTCGTAGTTTTGCAGAAATAAAAATTAAAGGAAGCTTCTAGCATAGTCGTCGACTACAGACGACTATAAACGACTATGGACGACTATGCTAAGAAATTAAATCTGGACCGTTTATTTGGTTTGTTGCTTAATCTTAGCCTTTGAATATTACATTATTAAAAATTTTAAAAATCTAATTTACACATCATTTAAGTTGTGACCAGTCAGCAACCAGTCATTGACCAGTCATCAAAATCCTGTTTGTTTTCTTCCTTTTAGGGGGTAATTTTTTTTCTTTTCCAAATTATAATATTCATAAATTGTACTCATTAGCATTCGTCCCCTTTTTCATAGCCTCCAACACTTCATCTTCAACCTTTGTTAATGACACACTTTATCTTCAAACTTCAATTATTCAACTAAAACATGACCATAAATTATCAAAGTATATATGAAATCAATAAAAATGTATAATCACCACATTTGCCTTTCTTTTTTTTTTTTTTTAATAATTTTATAGTTTTTAACCAATTTAATCAACTGTATATAAATATGATCATTTGATTACAGATTTCATTTAATATATTTTGGGATTAATTATAGGAAGTGGTATGATTTATCTTGCGTTTTAATTTTAATTGGTCATACGAATTCATGAGTAATCATCCGCCATTATTGAATGTTGAAGCTATGTGCATGGGTTGAAGATGGATAAACATTAAAAATATAATAAAAATTAAAAAAATTGAAACCGGACGCTATAGTGGGTGTGATTTTAGGTAAATTTACTTACTTTCTTTTTTTTAAAAGAAAAATATAGTGGGTGTTTTTTTTGGGATATTTTAAAGGAATATATCCTTAATTATCTCAAATAAGAAAAAAACTAATTGGGAAAAAAAAATCATTTATTTACCAAAAAAACAAACAAAGCAAAAATAAAAAAACAATGAAAATGAGAAAAAAAAACAAAAGAAAAAATTGATAAGAATAATCTCAACTATGCCTCATTCGCTCAAAATAATCCCAACTTTGGATTATTTTTTAATAATCCGAACTTTGATATGAATTTGCTCCTAATGGTCCCAAGTGACCGGTAACCTATTGGGTAGGTAATTTTTTTTTTTTTCAAATTTTAATTTACATGTGTCACTACATGATTGGACAGAAATAAGATTTAATTTTAATTTTATAAAAACATGATTATTCGTCACTAACTAACACTTAATTATTGTTAAAAAAATTAACAGTTTCTTACAAAAAAAAAAAGGAATGTCAACCATCACGCCACCAATCACCATCACCAAAGACCCAGCCCCCTCCTGGCCCTCCACTACCCTACCTTCCTTGAGCCATCAACACCAACCTAACCACCACTTAACCTCCCCAGCTTAACACCCACCTTTACCACTGTACCACATCCACCGTAACCAAAACCCGATCGATTTGTGATTTTGTTCCATAGGGAACTCAGCAGGTTTAGCATCAAGTAAACCGGCCTCGGTAATAATATCCAATGCATACTTCCTCTGACAAATAAAAATTCCCTGTTTATTTCGGGCTACCTCTAGCCCCAAAAAATATTTCAACACTTCAAGATCTTTCATCTTGAAACAATTTCCCCGATATGATTTAAAACTGTGCATAGCATTTTTATCGTTGCCAGCAACAATTAAATCATCAACATATACTAACACATTGAGCTGCATTTTACCCTTTGTCAGAGTAAATAAAGAATAATCATAATATGACTGTTTAAAGCCTTACTTTTTCAAAGCTGTAGCAAGCTTAGCAAACCAACACCTTGGAGCTTGTTTAAGCCCGTACAACGATTTCTGCATCCTGCAAACTTTGTCAGAGTTATCTTTCTCAAAACCAGGGGGAATTTTCATATATCTCTTCTTCCAAGTCACCATGAAGAAATGCATTATGAACATCCATTTGATGAACTTCCCAATTTTTCACCGCCGCTACTGCAAGGAAAGTTCGAATTGTCACCATTTTTGCTACTGGAGCAAACGTCTCATTGTAGTCTAGACCTTCGACTTGATGATTGCCAAAGATAACTAGCCTCGCCTTCAACCTCTATAAATTTCCATGCTCATCATATTTTTCTTTGTATACCCACTTACTTCCAAGCGCCTTTTTGCCTGGAGGTAATTTCTCTAACACCCAAGTAGCTTGTTCTTCGAGTGCTTGTATCTCATCTGCCATTGCCTTTCTCCAACCCTCATGTTTCATAGCCTCTTTGAAACTCTTGGGTTCATTTCCTCCTGTAATAGCAGCAATATAGGTTCTATGTTTCATAGAAAATCGGTGAGAATCAATAAAATGTGTTATTGGGTAAACAGTACCTGAGGGAAGTGATGTCGCAGGTGAACGTTGAGACGGAGTAGATGGAATTTTATTTCGAATAGTATGTGTCACAAAATCACGAAACTTCACTGAAGGAATCTTTGTTCTCATTCCTTTACCCAACACCTCATCACCCCGAGGCTCTTGCTCATGAGCTGTTGTGTTCCCAAGAGATTCTTGCTGCCTTGCACGCCCTTCCTCAAGGGCTGAACTGGTCTCATCATTGGCCAAAGAAGCTGCCCGCCCTTCCTCAAGGAAGGCAGTCTCCTTCGCGCCCTGGTCGCGGCATGAGGAGTTCTGTCGCAGCTCTCCTGCGGGATGGTCTGCTGAGGCAGTTACCTCCGCACCCTGGTCGCGGCGTGAGGGTTCCTGCCGCAGCCCTCCTGCGGTACCCTATGCTGCTCCTTTTTCACCTTCCTCACGCACATAATTCTCCCACACACAAGGTTCTTCCATACACCACTCATCATCACTCACACACCCAACATCACAAGACACATTTGGTGACTTTAAATTGTTGTGTTCACTAGTATTAAGGTACGGAAATTCACTTTCATTAAAAATTACATCCCTTGAAATAAATATTTCCCGTGTTTCCAAATCATAGACTTTCCACCCCTTTTTCCCAAACGGGTAGCCGATAAAGACACACTTTCGACTTCGACTTGCAAAATTGTCCCCCTTACTCTTTAAATTGTGAGCGTAGCATAAACATCCAAACACTCTAATATGCTCATAAGGAGGTGTTTTGTGAAACAAAATTTCAAAAGGGGTCTTATAATCGAGCAAACGAGATGGGGTCCTATTAATCAAATGACAAGCACTTTGCACACATTCCCCCCAAAATTTGATAGGTAAGTTTGCTTGAAATCTCAAGGCTCTAGCAACGTTTAAAATATGTTGATGTTTACGCTCAACCCGCCCATTCGGTTGGGGAGTACCCACACACGAGGTCTCAAAAATTATCCCATTGTCAAAAAAATACTTCTTCAAAGCATTAAATTACGTACCATTATCACTACGAACAACTTTAATATCTTGAGAAAATTGTCGTTTCACAATAGCAACAAAATTATAGAACATATATTCAACTTCCGTTTTATTGCTTATTAAATAAGTCCACACACCTCTAG